TGGAGGCTCACCCAATAGAGGAAAAGCCCCCTCCGAGAGGGGGGCGGGTTCATGAAGAGCTTATATTATCCTAAAACAGATGTTGGGGGGCAGGTCGTTCCAGAGTTTGGGGCCCATGACTGAAAAAGCCCGATCTCCTCTGAGCTTCAGTCTAGTTTTTGGAACAGCCAAAAGCAGCTGATCGGATGATCTCAGGGCCCGACAGGGAACGTAAGGTTCCAGAAGCTCAGAGAGGTGAAGGGGTGCGAGGCCATTTAAGCATTTGAAGGTCAACAGAAGAATTTTAAAAACTATCCTCGTACGAACAGGGAGCCAGTGAAGGGAGAACAGAACTGGTGTAATATGTTCAGACCTACGGGTTCGGGTTAAAAGCCGAGCAGCAGCATTCTGGACGAGCTGAAGACGTGAGATGGAGGCCTGGCTGATCCCAGCATACAGTGCATTGCAATAGTCCAATCGGGTCGTGACAAAGGTGTGGACTAGTTTCTCAAGGTCAGGTCTGGACAACACTGGCTTGAGCTTAGCTACCTGTCTGAGTTGGAAGAAGCTTTTCTGCAGAACAGAGTTGATTTGTTTGTCAAACTCGAAGTCAGAGTCTAAAACCATCCCGAGATTTTTACCAGACTGCTTCAGATATGGCTGAAGAGAGTCCAGGTTGACAGGATCAGTGGTGGCAGTTGAGCTAGGGCTAAAGACAATGACTTCGGTCTTCTCATTGTTAAAACTTAAGAAATTTGAAGCCATCCAGGCCTTAATGTCATCCAGACATTTTAACTGAGGGTGAATGGAGCAAACACTTGCTGGTTTCACAGGCAGGTAGATCTGGCAGTCATCAGCATAACAATGGAATGAAAGACCGTGTTTCCTCAGGATGGACCCCAGTGGGAGCAAATAAAGTGAGAACAGAAGGGGTCCAAGAATCGAACCATGTGGGACCCCACAAGAAAGAGGTAATGAGGAGGATATATTATTACCAACCTTGACACAGAAACTCCTGCCACTCAGGTATGAGCGGAACCATTCTAATGCAGCACCTGTGATCCCAACCCACTGTTCCAGCCGTGATATAAGGATACTGTGGTCAACAGTATCAAAAGCAGCAGTAAGGTCCAGGAGCACAAGTACCACAAATTGACCAGAATCATTTGATATCATAATGTCGTTACAAACCCTTACTAATGCTGTTTCAGTGCTGTGGAGTTGTTTAAAACCAGATTGAAAAATTTCGAAGATTCTGTTCTCATTCAAAAAACTTGTTTAATTGAATGAGAACTATTTTCTTTAGGATTTTGGACAGGAAGGGAAGTTTTGAGATTTGTCTGAAATTTGAGCAAGTCGAAGGGCCATGTCCAGGTTTCTTAATTAACGGATGAACTACTGGATGTTTGAAAACATCGGGAACCACACTTGTCACAATACTACTATTTACAGTAGTTAGAACAGAGGGTCCAATCGTGGGTAGAACTTGTTTGAAAAACGAGGCAGGAATGGGGTCAGCGGGGGAACCGGAGGGTTTCATCTGACCAACGACTTTGTTTAGAAATGAGAGTGAAATGGGTTCAAACTGTTTGAAGACAGCTGAGCAAGGGACAAAGACAGAAGGATCAGTTGTGGACTGGGGGATGGATGACCTAATCAACTCTACCTTATTAGCAAAGTATCTGGTAAAGTCGTTGCAGATGTCAACGGAGGCCTCCATGCTGGCAGACCGAGGCACGTTTAAAATGGAATTTACGGTATTAAAAAGAACACGGGGATTATGACTGTTTGAAGCAATGATTTGGGGGAAGTATTTGTTCTTTTCAGATTTAACGATGCTCTTATAATCTTTCAAACATGTTTTTAACAAAATAAAAGAAACCTGTAATTTGTCCTTTTTCCACTTGCTCTCCTGCATAGACGTTTGGCTGCTCGAGTGGTCACGTTCAGCCAG